TGACGGCGCAGTGTACAGATTAAGGGGCGGTAATATTATAATGAGATCCCTTTGCCACATCACCAAGCGAGCGAAATTAGACGCGCTGGTTTTCTCAGACGCTTGCAGAAAAAGGCTTCCCAAAACAAAGTTACTGGGTTAATCTTTTTCACGTTTCCTTGGTTGGTAGATGCACCGGGGACCTGATTATAGCACTTAAAACCTGGAAAAGTCAGATTTTCATGATATGTCACCTTTAATTTAAAAATTTTATTAATTTGGTTGTGAATTTTGTCATTTGAGTTTTTTTAATCATTTTATAAAGATAAAAAAAAAAAAAAAAAAAAAAAAAAAAAAAAAAAAAAAGAAAATCTTTCTGAAATAAAATAAATTATAAATAAGTATATTTTATTTCATTTTAGTTAACATTAATTTTATTTCAAGTAACAATTTTTTTAATGGGTTTAGATAAAAATAATAACCCACACTCAACTTGTCACAAGACACAAATCCTAACAATCAAACATCAATGCATTTGGTTGTGTGCATCTCAGCACAGTTTGAGATCCCTCTTAAACCTCTAGAAGAGACACATGTGAAATCACTGGGCTTTTTCTCTCAGGAGAAGCATCTGAGAAGCAGGAGACGTCGAACAAAGTCTCCGTTTTCTCTCAGTTTCTGCCTGTGAGAATGACCATTATAAAGGAGGTGTCATCTTCAGAGGAAAAACTGAAACCGAAAGTGTTTACTTCCAAATAAACAAGGATAATTTTGCAATATGTGAGCACTCTATAAACAGTGTGCGGTGTGTTGTTCATTAAACGTGTCACAAGATGTGAATCATGACAAACAGTGCCAGTATCTCAGATGATTAACATAAACAAACGGGACGGTAAGCGCGCACTCATTTCTCCAACTCACGTGGGCTTGTGGGAATCGAGTTATGCTGAAAATCCCCTTTTCTGGGGCCGAGCGTCTCTCTCTCTCTCTCTCTCTCGATCCCCTCCCCACCGCTCTTTCTCTCGATTTCTGGCTCATGTTAGATCCTGTCTGCTTCAGCAACGTCCGAAACCCCACCTCCTCCTGTCTCTCTCTCTCTCTCTCCACCTCGTCTCAGGCGGCGTGGAATCCTGGCTGTGTTTAATTGCCGAGTGGTAAGATCTGAGGGAAAGATCGGGAGCCGCTGCGTCTGTCAACGCTTTACGAGCCCCAACCCCGGGAGAGAGAGACAGGGAAGGTGTAGGAAGGAAGTGTTTGAAGTTTGGGAACGGGTGAGTTGGGGAATTTGTACGCAGTGGGGAGGTGAAGAAAGAGGTGAAACGCTGAAGTAAGATTTAGAGTTGGAGGAAAAAAAAGAGGGAGGGAAAGAAAAGAGGCCCACCGTTGGAGAAAGGGCAACAAGAGGGAAAAGTGGGAAAACAAGAATAAGTTAGAAAAAGGAGGAAGGAAGGAAGGAAGGAAGGAAGGGGGAGGTGAGCGAAAAGTTAGAGAGGGAGAGAGAGAGACAGTCAAACGCATTGAACGAGAGGAGACGCAGATGAGAAAAACAGACGCTGTGGATGGCCTGGGTGGAGAGAGAACCAGTTGTTTTCTAAGTCGCCTTTCGGACTGGAATGCACTCGGAGAATTTGAGATTCCCGACGCCTTACTGCCAACCTTGCTTGCGACACGCGCCGGGCCCCGCCGACGGATCATGTCTGCTTATGGAGTCCAGCGTAGCCCCGTTCCCGAAGGAGTTGGGTATGGAGCGAGTGGAGAGGACTGGAGCATCTCCGGTTTACGCCGAGGAGATCCGGCATCCATGCTACAGGTGGGACTCGCCGTGCGTTCAGGAGATACGGCGGGAGTGCGGATGTGTCCAGCGGTGGTATTACCCGGAGCTGTTGCATCCCTTCAACGGCGACCATGTTTTGAAGGTCAGAGGTCAGCGGTGCTACTCATCCTACGTCCAGGAGTGGGACAACGTTCATCAGCCTGAATACAACGGACATTGCGAGAGGAGACGGGTGTCATTCCGGCATCACGAGGAGCGACCCGAGACTGGCAGACAATCACACTGTAACGGGCCGAACTCTGGACACGCGGGTTTTTTCCCAACCGAGGTGCCCTCCAGCAAGTTGGGATGCTCCAGGGCACTCGGGAACGGGCTGCAGGTGAACGGACCGCAGCGGGAAGTAAGGACGTCTCGGGGGGACGCAGGTCTGGAGAAACATGGCAAGCAGAGGAAGAGCCAGGGAACAGTACGGGAACAGATCAAAAAAGTGGTCACAGAGCTCGAGGAAGTGCTGGGTGGTCTCAAACAGGTCCAGTTGGAGATGAAAGAGGTGAGGATAGATTAATAAATAGAGGGAGTGATGTTAACTGTTTAATGAAAGATCAAAAATTAGGTCTTGAAAGTTTTAAAGGGATAGTCACGCCAAAACAAAAATTCTGTCATTATTTACTCATGAATGCATGAGGAAAGCACAGAAATTTGACTTTTTCTTAAAGGGATTATCTAGCCAAATATTAAAATTGTGTCACAATTTACTCAGGAATGCATAAAGAAAATTCAGAAATGTTATTTTTCTTAAAGGGATAGTTCACCCCAAAATAAAAAGTTGGTTACCATTTACTCACAAATGCATGAGGAAAACACATCATTTTTTCTTAAAGAAAGACATAATTCATCCTAAAATGAAAATTCTGTTATACTCTTGAATGCATAAAAAAAAAAGAAAGAAATTTGACTGTTTTTTTCTTAAAGGGATAGTTCAACTAAAAATGAAAATATGGTCATCATTTACTCAGTCATTTATTCAGGAATTTACTAATGAATGCATGAAAAATACTTGTTTATTAATCAATTATTAAATTTGATTACTTTTCATAAAAGCAGTTCACCCAACAATGAAACTTGTCATCATTTACTTATTAATGCATGGTGAAAAATCACGCATTGAACATTAATTTTTCCTTAAAGGAATACTTCATTCAATCAATAAAAAGTATAAAAGAAAGATAAAATAAGACAATTTGAAGTAAGTTGGTACCTAAACAACATTGGACCCCACTGACTGACATAATATATGCACAAAAAACGGAGACATTTTGCAGAATATCTTCTGTTTCACAGAAGTCATACTGGTTTGGAACGACAAATGGCCAAATGAAACACTGTGAGTGACAGGCTACTATTTATGAGTTTCTTCATGCATTCATATATAGTAAACATTCATATAACGAGATTTGTCACTGATTTGGGGTTCAGCATATTTGAAATGGGATTTTAATAAGCACAGAGACTGGATAAGATCAAAACTTCAGTCTGTTTAGCCAGTGGAAATATAATATCTGTGTGTTCATAGCAAACATCTTTGTGATGAATCTATTCTGAAAACATCGTCTGAAATCCTTCAGAACCCAAAATACACATCTGCCAGAAATGCACTGACAATAATATTCAGAGCTGGAAATATTCCATTGGAAGCTATATTGTGAAGAGGAATATTGTATTTTCTGGAAGGGAAGGGACCGGTCCTTAAGTCCATCACAAAGGCTTGTTAAAAGAGAACAGAATCTTAGTGAAAATCAATACCTAAAGATAGCTCAATATGTGCAGACTGACATTAGCAATAATGGACTGTGCAGGACGTAAGACATTAATTGAATTATTTAGATACGTTTCAATGGATGCATCAAGAATCCCATTAGATGTAAATGACTGCAGCAGAAAATAAAGTCAGTAGATTAATGCATCACAGTGAAGGTTAAAAGAAAGAAAGTTATTTTTCTGCTATATTAACCTGATGATGACCTGTGAGGATGTTTAGAACAAACTTTTCAGCGTTTAAATAGTTTCTGGTGTGTCAGTTTAATGTTCAGAGTCACTACTATTCAGTCATTGGCAGTTTGACTTCTTAAGGTAATGCTTGACATGTCAACTTCTGACTCAGCCAATGGTGTGAGTTTAGGGGCGGGACTATGATTAATTATTGTCAGACAGCTTTAGGTAGAAGTGTCTGGGAAACCTGTTTGGAAACCAATCGCTGTATTTGTTAAGTTGTGCTGCTAGTGAAGGTTGCACAGTTTACCTTTAAGAAAAATGTTAAAATATAATAAAAAATGTAAATTAAAAAAATTATATATATTATATATATATATAATAATAAAAAATAATAATAATTTAAAAAAGAAAATTCTGTTTTCATTTACCCACCATTATGTTGTTCTAAACCCATTTGACTTTCTTTTTTTTTTTTGTGGAACACAATGTTTTACAGAATATTTATGCAGTTTTTTTCACACAATTCATATTCATTCATTCAAATCATACTCGTTACTTACTGAAAATCTTCCTTCATGTTTAAAGAACAGGGGTTTCTTAAGGTTTCAAATATTATAATAATACTGTGCACCAAAAACTAAAATGATTTCATGGCTGAAAGCATGAAAACATACCTTAGTTTAGTTTAAGTTTTTCCAGTTATGTTAGTTTTTATTTTATTTCAGTTTACAAAAATGCTTCATTTAGTTTCAGTTAACTCAATATGATTGCAAAAATCATTGGTGACAAACATGGTGCGACACATCTGGATGCATCATGTTTGAATATGTGAATGGTAATGTGAATGCAGTGGCAGAAAGGAAGAATTCCAGTGAATTACGTTTACAAAAATTGGTGCATGACTCCTTTTTGGAGTTGACAACTTCTGGCAAGCAAAAAAAGTGGTTTAAAGCATCTCCTTTAGTGTTCTGCAAAATGAATAAATAAATAAAAGTTATTTTTTTTTTTTTCTGTCTGTGAAGGTTGTCCAACAGATCGACATTCTAACGTCCAATATTGACCTTGGCGAAGACGAACCAATTCTATCCAATGGACTCTCCCAAGATGCCACCAAAAGCAGTCGAACTGGTGTTGTGGCATTGATGCACAATTCAAACGGCGAAGAGGACATGTCAACTTCCAATTCCTCTCTCGCACACAGCCCTGTCACTGTGGATTTAGTTCATATTAACAGTCCTTGGCCGATGAGAAACCGCACAAGCCCGTCCCCTCCTGAGCAACGATCCGTTACTGTTGAGGATAAAGGCAAACGAGTTGTGAAACAGAGCTCAGAGACTCAAAGGACTCAAAGGACGGCCAATGGAAACTGCCTACCACATCGAACGGCAAGGAAAGGCCAACTGGAAAACCACAGACCCCCTGTAGCTCCAGTAGTGAGCACTAACTCAAATAAAACCCACCGGCCTCCACCTTACCCTCAGAACGGACAGGTGAAGATGAGGACCCCTCCCTATCCTGGAAAACATAAGACGCTCTCCTCCACCATAGTGTAAGGACACCAAGCACAGAAACCCAATCATCAGCAAAGAGGAAAGCACACACAAACACATCACACATATACTCACAGATACATTGCACACATGCTTAATCGATTACCAAGTAACTCGTCCAAATGTTTCTTGGTGACACAACTCAGGGTAAGTGGACACTACACGTCCTTAGATGAATGGTCAGCATGTGCTCGCTGTGTTTATGTTCATGCACGTGTGTATCTGCACTTCTAATCTCAAATTATCAGGTATTTATACGCTACCGTTCAAAAGTTTGGGGGAAGATTTTTTATGTTTTTGAAAGAAGTCTCTTCTGCTCACCAAGGCTGCATATATTTGATTACAACTACAGTAAAAACAGTAAAATTTAGAAATATTATTACAATTTAAAATAACAGTTTTCTATTTGAATAAATTGTAAAATGTAATTTATTCCTGTGATGCAAAGCTGAATTTTCAGCATCATTACTCCAGTCTTCAGTGTAACATGATCTTCAGAAATTATTCTAATACGCTGATTTGCTGATTGAGAAACATTTCCGATTATTATCAATATGGAAACAGATGTGCTGCCGAATATTTTTGAGGATTTTTATATTTTGTGACATTATAAATGCCTTTACTGTCACTTTTGATCAATTTAATGAATCCTTGCTGAATAAAAGCATTAATTTCTTTACAAAAAATTGTACTGACCCCAAACTTTTCCACAGTAGTGCATTAGTTGTTTCTCCTAGATCTAGTTTGAACTTGCCGCTTGCTCGCAACTGCTGTGTTCATGGAAGCTTTGCGTTCAAATATTTCAACTCAAATCAATATTTCGTGTCTAATTATTTACTTATGTGGCAAGTAGCTGTGTAATAAGCGGGATAATGTACATCCAGCCGGTTGTTATTCCTGAATACCCCCCTTCAGGGTGATACAAGACCCCTCCGCTTCGCGTCGTGATCACCCTGTCGGGGGTTATTCTGCAATAACAACCGGCTGGATGTACATTATCCCCTACTATTTTTATACATGCTGTCAACAATTATCTAATTCATTTCAAATTCATATCAGGAGAAACATCTGAGATGACTCTGAGCTTTAAAAGAGCAACTTCCGACGGGTTTATTTCCCAAAACAAGTGCTGAAACATGTGCCACATCCATGTGCCTTTCAGGAAAAAGACTCACTCTCTATTACAACAGACACTATAACCATGTGTTTTTTCTTAGTTATTATTTCCCAGAAAAGAAAAGCATGGTGGGGTCTGCCGGCACTGAAACATTTCCTTAGAAATAGAGACCGAGACATTTGTGATGAAGACCGTCTACACAATGACTCAGTGTTAACAAGGCTACCTATGCGTCATGAAAGATGTCTTCCATCTGTTCCGCAGGCTAACAGAGTGTCAATACACTGAACTTGTTTCCTCAGATTACGGCGAGCTTTGTTGTTCGCCCTGCAGGCAGAGGAATGGTGTTGAACGCTGTGCGATTCAAAAGCCGATCCTGCATGGCATTATCTCAGATCTGAGGCCGAACATGACTTTGGGACAACTGTGCAGCTCCGTGTTGCTTTATCACACAGGAATTCAGGATACAATCAGGAACATTTGATAAACATTCTATAAATGAAACTTCTATCCATGGTTGATTATACCGGGTCTTCTTTGGTTGTTGTTGAGGCACGTTAAAAGTTCAAACACGCAACTTCAAGGCTGGGATTTCTTGGAAAATCACCTTACGCAGCTGTAGACTAAATGCAGATTATATTATGAAGTCCATCAATTAAATTATCTAGATTTATACATGTCCTTAAAGGGATAGTTCACCCAAAAATGAAAATGTGATGTTTATCTGCTTACCCCCGGGGCATCCAAGATGTAGGTGACTTTGTTTCTTCAGTAGAACACAAACGAAGATTTTTTAACTCAAACCGTTGCAATCTGTCAGTCTTATAATGGAAGTGGATGGGAATCACGGCTTTGAAAAACATACACAAACAAAACCAAATTAAACGCTGCGGCTCGTGATGACACATTGATGTGTAAAGACACGAAACGATCGGTCTGTGCAAGAAACTGAATAATAGGCGGTAATGCACTTATAAGCCTGCGATCCGCCGTAAAGCAAGAAGAAGAAGACGCGTCACCCGCCGGCTGTTGAGGACGCGCTCAGGACAGTTCAGACATTGCAGTGCATTAGAGTTAAAAAACGATATAAATACTGTTCAGTTTCTTGCACAGACCGATCGTTTCGTGTCTTTATACATCAATGTATCGTCACGAGATGCAGGGTTTAATTTGGTTTTGTTTGTGTATGTTTTTTTTTTACTCTCAAAGCCGTGACTCCCATTCACTTCCATTATATGACTGACAGACTGCAACGGTTTGAGTTAAAAATCTTCGTTTGTGTTCTACTGAAGAAACAAAGTCACCTACATCTTGGATGCCCTGGGGGTAAGCAGATAAACATCAAATTTTCATTTTTGGGTGAACTATCCCTTTAAGAAAACTTGAGAGATGCTTGTCTGTGCAAAACCAGCAGTTGCCAGGGCATTGTTTTGTGGTTGCTAGGGTGTTTTCTGGGTGGATGGTTACAGGTTTAAAACGGCCCACCTACAAGTCTCTGTGATATTATCATCATCCCTAAATATGCAACCTAGGCTCATTGGAAAAAGATACCTATCCAATTCACTGCAGTTTCCAGCTGAAATTAACACTAGTGGCAATAAAACACTAACAACATTTATGCCTTTTTGCGTAAACGATCCATTACAGGGGCAGATTTTCAATTAATAAAAACTTATTTTTGTACAGTTTCTTGTATAATATAATGTTATGAGCTCAAAACACTTTTGACATGGTGCATGGTTTGTAAACAAATACATTTTGATGTTTGCATCAAATAATCAGCTTTATATCTTTTCTGTGTAAACTTGCTCCATAGCTCACCTGGTACAATATTGCACTTGCGATGTGAAGCACTCGGGTACGAGTCACAAGAAAAGCTCAAAGACTTGTAAAGGCAAGCTAAAATTCCATGCAAATGCATTTTTAATCACACTTTTGCTTTTGTTAAATCTATTGGTTAGGATTTAGTATAAGGTTTAGTTTAGGTTGTACGTTATTTTCAAATGCGATACAGCATTGACCTAGCATCACTCACCGGAAACTTCATTTATGTACAACAAACAATACAATAAAAAATTGCCAGAATATTCATGTGTTTTGGAGAAAGCTGAATGCACTTTTGGTGCCACTCACATTGGACATTTCACTTTGAATGTGTCACGAAATATGCAAGAAGCATCGTAATAGATCTATTTTGCAGGCATGTTTTCCCAGTGAGCTTAGGTTGGAAATATGCATCGCTCACATCGGTCCTTCAATGTAAGTCTAAGTGATTTTTTTGCCATTTTATCAGGTGAAAATCATATTTCTAAACAATGAAGCAACAGCACACAACAAGAAGACACGAGATTTTGATGTCTGGAGCATGCTCACATTGAGCTTTAATACTTCTGAAAAAACCCTGGCTTAGGTAGCACAACTAGTTAAACTAAGCCATTTAGCTGGGAGAGCTTGAATTTGACACTATTCCCTGACGTATTCGACTTTCCTCTGGGGTTAAAGTTAAAATGGCAGATGTGATCTTTGTGTGCGCGGTTGAGAACAAAAGGAACTGATTTCTGCCTGCTGGGGATGTGAAAGCAGTAGTTACGGTTTGGCAGTAGAGGGTCATTGTCCTCTAGTGGAGGGTATGCGTCTCTGCACTGTTGTTTTTTATAGTTTTCAGGTTGGCCCTTCGGTCTGGTTTTCATTAGAAACCACTTGGCTTAAGGCCTGACCGAATGAGGCAAGCTCGTACAATATTTGTGATGGTCAAATAAACACAGGCATTTTCAGACATCGTTTACGATGACGGCCACCCACTAGCTGGGAGGGCAACAACAGCTGGGCTCAACACAAACCAGGAAGTAAATGCATAACAGACAGCGTCACCCAAACACAGCGGATGTTTTCATAGACGTGTGTTTACAGAGAACGCCCACCGTTTGGTGCCTTCGCTCTGGCTACTCAGTGCCAGTTTGGGAAACCATGTCTTCATCGGCTGTAAAAAGAAGCCTAAAGAAGAACATTGTACTATTTACAAGTGCTTTACATTGAAATTCCACTGACTATAGGAAAGAGAAATCCCTAATGAGATATCTTTAGTACATCACTTGTTTTTACTAGACAGCAGTGAGATTAAATTGAGAGCAAATGGAGAAACTTTTACTTAAAGGAACAGTAAAAATGAGACTTCTGTCATGTAATTCCAAACCTGTATGGCTTTCTTTATTCTGTGGAACATAAAAGATGATTTATGATGATTTTGAAGAACATTTGGGTCCAAACAACATTGCACCCCATTTACTTTCAGTGTACTGACAAAAAACACCAAAACATTTTAAAAAATCTTTTTATGGCAGGAAAATGACAGAATTTTCATTTTTGGGTAAACTGTCCCTTTAAGTCTCCTTACTTCTCATATGTTTCTCTTAAGAAAAAATTATGTTCTCAAGACATTAAGATCTCAATGTGAACTCAAACTCATCAAGTTCTCATCAATTCTCATCACTTTTATAGCTCTACATACAGCATTTACTCTTACTTTATGACAACTATTCACTCATTGCTGTCTATTTTTTTCTAAGGAATTTTACGAGAAACGTGAGACAAAGTTAATACTTAAAATAAACCTTCCTGACAGCTCTATTAATTTAAAAACACCATTATATAGACTTTAAACCATCATAATTCTGCCCTGAACACAAGTATAACCTATTGTGTATTACTCAAATACAAGATAAATTAAATATTCAACTGGACCAGAGACATTAAAGTTCAACTGCAACTATAATAAAGTCACATCAGCTTTAATACATTGTTTAAGCAAAAGCTATTTTAAGAACAATCATAAAATATAAATGTGCAGAAGACAGTTTTACTTTTGGGTAGGTGGATAATTACATCTGTCTGTGAGCGCTCAGATTTTGGCTTGAACTTTTTGGGGTGGCAGACAATTTGGACAAATGAGGGATGGAGCAATCATACAGTATGACGGCATGAAGTCTGCTCACATTGCAGCTTATTCTGGCTACCAATTAAACGCCTCCTTAGACAGGAAGAGAATGTCTGAATAACACATAAAATGACCAACCACAGTTTAAAAAAAATGCATTGTTTTTTCTTTTAGGGGCGGGATTATCAGAAGAAGGTTGCACCACAATAATAGTCCAGAGTAAAATGTAAATAAATAAATAATGGTACAGCAGTCAGGT